CATTCGTTTATTAACTGTCATTGAGAGTTGATCCGACAACAAAGTCGAAATTTAGCTTTTGAAGAACAGAAACGAAGAACTCGAAAAGCAAATAAAAAATGACTACCTGACAAAGCACTCTAGAATTAGGCAAATGGAAGCTGTCCTGCTAGACTAGAGGTTTAGATCAATGAAATATAATCTCATTTTCTGTATGCTAAGTTATCAGAACAATAATTCATAAAACCGCTGTTCATTTATTCTATAAATTCAATTCAAACATATCTTAAATCAATCGTACATGCTTATTTGTTGTGTTTATATAACACCAAATAAAAAGCAGAAACGCATCAAAAGATGCTATTGAGGAAATAGAAAGGGGGACTGGTATAATTTGGTTTTAGTGATCACTTGCGTGCGCTAGTATGCTGTTTCAATGCTAGAACTAAAACACTTATGGATTTTTGTCGTGATAGGTGAAAATTTAGTAGAGGTTTTAGTTGAAAATTTAATCAATGAGTCAACAGATTTGTATGATCATCTAAATGCTCTCAAAATTTCACTTGATTTTCAGAAGATAAAGTTCATCCAAATTCCCAAGGTTATGAATTAGTTGTCTTTTGTAAAAGGAATACTAGTAATTTGAACATAAAAGCAGGCAGGCTTTGCAAAGGTAACAGATTAGGCGAATCAACACAAAAGACAATGGTATTACCGATTATTTCTTAGTCTCTTTAAGAGAAATGAAGAGTTTGAGGTCTTTCCGTGTGATCCATATATTCTTATGTACACAATCACATACATGTCAAAATGATGCGAGAGGGTAAGATAGAAGCTGAGGAAAAGATACTATCTACAAAGAAGAAACCATGGACTGAACAAGATAAAAACAAATTCATCCCTCTACCATAGCTCCAACTTGCATCATACTTTTCCCCTTGCATCTAGTTGACAGCATCTATTTCTTGTTCGCTAATCATTAAAGTGATAACATCCTGAAGATTACAGAATTAGTTGTAGTATATACTTTTTATTGCTTAGGTGCTCCTGAAGGGTAAGCAGTTCATACTCAAATGGCCACCGTCATTATTGTTCAAGCAAATGAATTAACTTGATGTGAATTAATACTTGTTTGCTATGACAATGAATTTTTTTGCTATGGATACCCATCATTTTGTCACTGATGTTTAATAACTTTACGAGGATGTTCACTTTATTGATACGTAACTAATTGCATGTACTTGTTGTAGACACTTTAGTGAGAAATGTCAGTTCAAAAGTCAATTTAACTCATCCATGGCTCTTTAAATTTTGTGTCTGTGAGAGTTCCCATAGAAAGAAAGACCAGAAAAAGCGCGTCGGACGCAGCACATTGGTACAAATGTATTTTCTCGATCAAAAAGGTGTCAAAATTGACATATTTAATCTTACACATAGAATTTAACTTAATAGAACCCTTGAATTAGCCAAACCGCTTTTTCCCCGCATCAATATCCTAGTATAATACATATTGTACCGCAAATATTGTTTGCAAAGGGGAGATTCAGCTGTTACTCACATACAAACTTTAATGGCAAGTTCTCACATCTAAGCTATAATGACTGACGTTGGCAGTTTTCCCTAATCACAACAGTAGTTTGTAGCCGTGATTTAAGATAAATTTACTTGATAAATACCACGTATCTTGAACTGAGAATCACAAATAATTCTTTTGATAAATTGATAATACTTTTTTTTCAAATTCAACAGGTAAAAAAAGTTTGCTTTTGTATTACTTTTCAAGCTTACAGGAGAAAGGTTATTCCAGAAGCATGTGTTCTTTGAAAGAAATCATATCATACGCTTTTCACGTTGACGGGATAAGTGTCTACTGCTCTGCATGCATCAACCCGCAATGCGAATTCACATATTCAGTCAAAATATTATAATCGGGAATAGGACACGCTCGTTAAAATTACAGATCAAACGACTAAACTGGTATATTATGATCCATTACCGCGAAAAGATGTCGCTAGTGAGTTGAGAAACAGACGCAAAATATAGGTAAACCCTGATGGGGACCTAAACATTTTGTTGTGTCGATTTCAATCGTTTTTCCTCATCTTTTTGAGTAGTTTTTATGTAAGGAGCACAAATGCTCAATGAAGTCAATGAAGTCCATATCGTGTGAACATGCACGAGATTAACTATTAACTGAGATATGTAAACGCAATACAATGGAAGAGTGGGTATGTTGCTACTGAGAAATGGGAAGTTGACAACAGGGAAGTTGAAACATCGCGTTTGTCATATAGGAATTTTGTTTAGTTTTGCCAACAATGAAACGAAACTATTGGATAAGATTTACAAAACATAATTTGTTTTTTTTAAAGAATAAAACGTTATGTGCCTATTATTAAAAGTCTTTAGTGAATATAAATAAGCATTTCACTGGTCGTAATTAACGTATAAGAATATGTGGTATGAGTGCCAATGAGACAACTCTCCATCCAAGTCAAAATTTATAAAAGTAAACCATTATAGGTCACAGTACGGTCTTCAACACGGAGCCTTGGCTCACACCGAACAGTAAGCTATAAAGGGCCCCAAAAAATTATTAGTGTGAAACCATTCAAACGGGAAAACCAACGGTCTAATCTATATAAGAAACGAGAAACGAGAAACACTTATGAACCACATCTACAAACGACAACTACTGAACATCAGATTCCTGACTTAGGACAGGTGCAAACAAATGCAGCGGGTTTAAACGTTTTTATGGTAACAAACCTTATATCGGTAAGAAATGTTAAACAATTAAAGAATAACGATATGCTCGAACAAAAATATCAGCCATTTGCAATAACTTTAAACACAGGTAAATGAAAATAATTTTGTTGTTAGGTATACGTGTACAGTACCAATAGAGAAAGGAAATATTTTTACAAAATAAATAATATTGATGTTCATGGTACGAAGTGAAAATTTATAGTTATACCAAACACTTATCAAAGCTGGTATATAGACCAGATATAACCCTGAATAACATTAAATAACAAAAAAGCAATACAATTAGTATCAACAGGTCAAATAAACAAGAAAGTACGATTTAAGAGTATATGCACTTTAAATGAATATACTTCAAATACCAATTAAACATAATGCAAAACAACAACATCACATATGACAATTATGCAAAACATTATGTTTCAAAATTAAAAACTGTGCATACTTTGATGGTAAAATTTTACACAAATGTTATTTGATCGTTAAATAAATGTATGAGCTCAGTAGTCATATTGTAGGTTAAATGATGCATCAATCAAATCAAACTATCTTTTACTTAAAAAATCTAAAAAATCAACCAACACGACAAATGGTTGTTGACATTTTTCTTAATATTCATCAGTATTATATGTGGCATGTGGTTAAAGGTTAGTACATTTCATAATTGAAAATATGAATAAAATGAAGGCGAACAATCATAGTGTTATGGAAAATCTCTAATTAAAAAACTAAATAGCATGGAAAGTGCTTTACAGAAGGATGTAGTTTTCAAAACATACTCAAAAGCACCTTTTTACAATGTGTAACTCTTAAGCTGCAATTCGTAATTTGACAAACATATCTTCGACTCTTTGGGAACAATGAATTTCGATACCAATACATGAGCTTTTTTTAACATTTGTTACATGTTTTATATGTCTATTTATAGAGTCATATTGAAAGAACTGAACTATTTAATTATCTGTCAATAACTACATGGAACATCAACCACATATACATATAGGTCTTGTTAAATCATTCTCACTTGAAGTAAAAGGGGTCATAAGTTCAACAATCTCAGAACAGACAAGATCAGGACAAAAAGAAAACATTCGCTGCTTTACAAGCAGACAAGCGATAAATCAGAAGTATGAAACAATATTAGGTTAGAAATACAAAAATTATATAACAAGGTATAGTGACGCGATTGTATGACATGCTTTCCTACTGACTGTTATCTTTTTCTGTAATTTTATACGACATAGAAGCAAAGGCACTTAATAATGCATTCAAATTTAAAAGGTTGTTTTCGCAAACACGTCAAATCGACTGGGGGATGGGCATACAATTCGAGACAAATGAAGACTGTTGATTTTTCTATCACCAATAAATTTGTATATGACAGTAATTCGTAAAACATTATGTGTTATTGTGCTATGGTCATTTTTTGTATTCTTGTCTTTCATTTTTGCTTATATGCTTTGTCTATAGAGTGTCTATATGCTATTTGTTTTTTTCTTTGTTGACATAGTTGTTGGTTTGTATAGGGATTAAGATTATAACACAATGTTGACTGCTGAACCCCAATTTTTGACATTTTTACCTATTATGTCTGTTTGTTTTGTTCACACATTGTTGTCAATATAATGGAATTTTATGCGACTTTCATACAAGTGAGAGGTTTGGCTAGCTATAAAACCAGGTTTAATACACCACTTTCTACATAAGGAAATGCCTGTAGCAAGTCAGGAATATGACAGTTGTTTTCCATTCGTTTGATGTGTTTGAGCTTTTGATTTTGCCATTTGATAAGGGATTTTTCGTTTTGAATTTTCCTTGGAGTTCGGTTTGTTATTTTACTTTTTGCTGAAATAGCAGCACGATGATGTTGTATTAAGAATTCACTGCAACTTACTTTAGCGCCAAAAAAATATGATTTCCTAGCTCTAGCTAAACCATTAGCACATGGACCCAAATTTCTTTCTTTGGAATCGTAAAGACCTATTGTTTAAAGAACATTTTGCCAAAATACCAGGTACAAAAATCTCTTAAGTTGTGCTTTTTTTCGGAAAAGTATTGAAAAATGAAAGTATTTTTTATGTTTTGACATGAAACATGCAAATTTCAAGTTAAAACACCTAAAATATAAGTCATGAAGATACATTTTTCTTTGTATATTTCAATGGTGCATATCGAAATTGACTTTATGTCAAAATTTTGATGGAAAAATCAACGAGAGGTCTTTCTGCATCGTATGTCATTAAGTGTAACACAAGTCATGGTTTAAATGTAAATGATTTTTTTTATCATGATATCGTTCTAAGCATTAATGAGCCGATGACCGATAAATATTGATCCTCCATCGACAATTCACGATAAAATAGAACAGAACACGTAATTTTTACACAAAGTATCATTCACAGAAACGAAATAGATTAAATGGTTTGATACGCCCATTTTTTATATACATTATGTATCTGCTACCGTTTTTAGTGTTTTATTTGGTGCATTTATGTTACGTCACTGTTTAGAAGATGTTGACGCATAAGTGTGGATATCTGATTCAGAGGGATTGGTAAGCAATTGATATTGAGATAAGTCCGGATCCGTTGATGCATAAGTGTGGATAACAGATTCAGGTGGAATGGTAAGCGATTGATATTGAGATAATTTCGGTTCCGTTGATGCATAAGTGTGGATATCAGATTCAGGTGGATTGGTAAGCAACTGATATTGAGATAAGTCTTTTCCCGTCGATGCATAAGTGTGGATATCAGATTCAAGAGGATTTGTAAGCGATTGATATTGAGATAAGTCCGTTTCCTTTGATACATTTTCTGAAGATTCGTACATATGTTCAACTGAGTTTCTCTTGGATGATAATGATTCGTAGTTCTTGCAATTGTTCCCTTTCTGTTGAATTGAACCTGTAATGTTTTGCGGTTCACAAGTAATTGTTTTATTATCATTTATGTTCTCATATACCACGGGAATACTGATTTCTGTCATTTCAGTGTAATTTTCTATGTTACTGTCCGAAAAATAGATCCTATCTGTATCAATTTGATTTTGCTGAATTTCACATGGTTTCGAATTCATCGCTTTGTTTCTTCTTCTATAGAAAACAACTATGATGAAAACTAAAGCAGCAATTAATACGACAACCAAGACTGATACAATTATCGTGTACATTTGAATTCCAGCTACAAAAATATAAAAAAATCATTCAAACAACATAGAATGATGTTATTTATTCAAATATTAGACCATATAACTTGTCTTTACACGTAATATGTAGTATTTGCATACATACAACGTTTTGCTAAAACAAGCATGTTCAAAACATGCTAATGTTCAAATGCCTTAAACTGTCACATACCGTGTTTCTATTTGACAATATCAATTAAATTCTATTTATTGCTACCGTTTTTAGCAGTTATGGTTGTCTTTTTGATATTGTTTTACATCTAACCCCCTTGTTTTATCAATTTTGTATTTACATTGTGTCATAAATCAAATTTATTCGTTCAGTGTATGTTCACTTGTTTTTGTTAATATGTATTTTGATTGAGTTAAGCCATTTCAATTGATATTTTAGAGTGTGTCTTTCTATGTTGTGATGTGACACTATTGTTTCAGCAAGGGGGACGGTTGGCGCCTATTAGAGGTTTCTCAACATCTTACGAACGGACGAAACTCGACGAACGTATCGTTAGGGAGCTGTAATTTTATGCAGTAAAATTTTCTACCGATATTGCAGCGTGTTTAAAGACAACAGTAAACAATTTAATATTCATTTTGCAACCTTGTAATTTATTGTTGTGGTTAAACATGAGTGTTCCAATTGGTTTTGTGTTGTTGAATGTTGAGTAACCTTACGTTGAGTTTCGTTTATTTACATGTCCAATATACGTTCGATTTATCTCCCTTATCATTTAAAAAGAACAATGTTTTTGATAGTCGTTGTTAAAAAAAATCTGCGCATTTGGTTTGCATTTGACTGAATGATTGTTGGATGTTTTTTTACAAAACGTTCAGTGGCGAGTATTCCATACATTTCACGACGATATTATCATTTGATAAAGGATTGAAAAGTGGTTGAGAGGACACAACCTTTATATTTAAATCTCCAACTCTGGACTTAAAGTCACATGAAACCTCAAATTAAAAAAAAAAATGATGCATATGTTTTTTATAACTAAATGGATAGTTTTCATTATAAAACTTGTGTACATGTACTTTTTTCTGAAGAATTTTTTTTAAATTGTCCACATTTAGAAGAAGTTTACTTTTTTTTAATTGCTTGCTTCCAGGAAGCAATTCGCCGACATATTTTCCGTATGCAAGTGACCTTAGCGTGACCCTCCTCGTAGAATTCCGGTAATCGCAATACGCATGGATCTGTCATTAAAATGAACTATTATCTGATTGTACATGTTATACACGTGCGCAATATCCATGCTTCTTTGTTGATTGTTTACTATAAGGTGACAATCGGTAAACTACGACTCCAAAACACGACAATTAAGTAGCTGCCATATTTTCACATCATAACAGACAGAGAGAAAAAAAAATTGACGATTATACGATATGTTTGCGTAAAAAATGATAAAATCGTGTACAGAAGACAAGTTTATGATATATACATGCATTGGTTCAAGAATTGGATAAACATTATTTTTCACCAGTCACTCGTTTCATACGACTTTAACATCTCTAGCGCTCGACTTTAGATATACAGCGCTAGACTTTACAGCCCAGCGCGCTGGACTTTAAAAACCACAACTCTATATCTGCGTGAGACCAGCAGATCACTGTATTATAGAGATGTTTTGCGTGGATTTATAGACCACACAGACTAATATATCAGCAGTGCATATGGCCTTAGCTAGTTCTTATAGTTCAAACAAAGTAGACTAATCTTTTCCTATCCTTAATAATTGTTGACAAATAATAAAGATTGCATTTTGAAAGTAACAGAGAAATGAAATTTGGTCCCTTCATAAACAAATCAAAGGTGGCAAGAAAGGTCTAACACAAAAACTCGTTAACCATAACCCATTTTTCATATATTCTGATTAATGTTGATACATAAATAGGTGTAAAACAACTTCGATAAATATATATGCATATTGAATAAAAACGCATGAAGAGATAAGATGTGGTTTAAAACAGTTTCATTTCTTAATTAATCTCCACATTTATTCAATAGTATTCAATAATAAATATTGGGAACCACTCCTAACAGCAAGAAAAGGCGGTATTTTTTATGTATCTTTGATATATATGTCGTTAAAACCGCTATTTATTTATATGTATTTTAAACGTTTTTTAGGGGAGTCAGTTATATTGTAAGTAATAGAGTTGTGTGCATTCTAATGGAAAGTATGAGTGCTACAGCACCAACAGAACTGATTGTAATATAGATATTAAAATGTACATTGAAACAATTTAAATTATACTAATATACTAAGTGTACGATAATAAAAGGACAACAAGGATAAGAAAGGCCTTGAAAATAAAACAAAAATCAACAATACATTTCGGAATATCTTTTCAAGTGAAATTTTTTTTCTCAATTATCTATTTCATTATTTCCCTTTATTCATTTTCTTGCCAATTTTGGTAGAAAATAGTTCAATAATAATTATGTAAGGTGAAGAACTGACCATTTGGATTTTATAGCTTTGAGGCAACAAAGTTATCTCGGACCCAAGGATTTTTTTTTTCAAATTAAAAACCGATTTTTTTCTAGAGTCGTTCACTCCTAGATTAAATTTACCTCTTTTATGCGCAGGGCTTTTTACCTTTGATCTGAGCCTAGATAAATTTCAAAAATATTCATTGCCACTCCAATCTCAACAAAAAAGGACACTAAGTCACTAAGTACACATTCTCGCATTCAATATAATAATATGTCCACAACTCAAAATGGTTTAAAAGAACCCTGCATGCATATCTTATGAAAGGAAGTGCACATCCAATAGTCCAAAATCATTCAATAAATGAGTGCTCCCTCTTTTCTCGTTACGGCAAGTTACGTCATGTTAAGGCGATTTTCGTCCGTTCGTAAGATGTTGAGAAACCTCTATTAAAACGTTTAAACCCGCTGCATTTGTTTGCACCTGTCCTAAGTCAGGAACCTATGATGCAATTCCTTTCCGGACTTAAAAGACAAATAATCATCATTAGGTCTGTCAAAACGTTGCTTAATACTTAAAGGAATTTCCCAAATGAGAGTTCTAATTTTCCAACAACAGTCCTGTATTTGGAGTCTATAAATCAAGGCGACGGTAGTTTTACAAATTTTTAAATCTTGTAAATCGTGTAGGAAGAAACACAGGTAATAAATAGAAACTGGGGAAATGCAAGAACTCCAAAAGGGCAAGACCGGTAGCATGGACACAGTACGAGTCTCCTGTTATGCATGCATCACCCATAATACGAATTCGCAATCAGTATTAATGTCCGAATTGGGAATAGGACACAATCGCTATCTATCAGTTGAATACTCCAGGCCTTGGGTTTCTTTTGAAGATTTCCTTGATATAGGCTTTCTGCTTAAAAGAAAGCCATTGCATCGAGTCGTCTAATTTGTAAAGTTAGTCACCATTTCAAAGGTTTTGCGGAAGGGATAAATGTTTGGTTGCCTTTTCGGAATATCTGCGTCAGAAATGATGACCACATATGTATACACAATCCCGTTCTCAGATTGCTAACCCGAGAAAATATTGTCAACCGAGGCAAAGCTAAGGTTGACAATATTTTTTCGAGGGATAACAATCAGCTCTATCACCATCTCAGCTATGTGTTATTTAATTTTTTATACTGAACGTTCTGTCATTTTTTGTCTTTTAAAATTGAAAATTGAAAGTAAATTTAAAACTATGCGTCATATACATAACAACGTTACAGTTATTTGAAAAACAAAAAAACTGAAGCATTATGTATTTTTTTAATGTTCAGTCTGAGGTCGAACGTAAAACTTGAGGATTGTCTTTAAAATAACTGATGTACATTCAACAAACTGTCCTTTAAATTATTAATTTGTGATTGATCTGCACGAGAGCGTGACATTAAAAAAATGTCACCCGCTCAGTCATGTGATCGTGTAAATTATCACTCTCATCTTGACGTGAATTATGATATTAAGAATTGTCGTATGTACTAGTATGTTCCTTTTCTAATGCTTTTGTCCATCTATCCAATTAGGATGTTTTACTTTTTACAGATCATACGTTTTGTGCTAGCAATCATTTCGTTTGCTTGATCAACATTATCTATATACAATTTGATTTGTGTTAAAATCTTAAATTTAACGACTTACCATGAGTTGTACTTTTCATAAAAGGAATGGTTGTAAGGTCCTGTACTAAAAATAAAACATAAAAATATAAGGAACATTCAGGGTGTATAAATATTCGGATTTTCAGATTTTATAGTACATAAAATACCATATACCAATGTGGGTCCGTCTTTTATTTGAAAATTCAATAAGTGCCTGGACTGATTTGACTGTCGATCTTGATATAAATCTTTACAGATGAGTTACTGATTAAGATAGCTGTTTGTTTTGGTAGATTTCGCAGAATTACTGACAAAGGACTAATGAAAATTGAACTTGTCCAGACATTTATAATATACTCATATATTCATTTTAACATATCTAACATACAATGGTGTATATCTTCCATGATATTTGAACAACCACCTAGGAAGAAAGTTAGAATACAAATAATAGTATGCGTACTATACATTTTTATCATGCTATAGTGTCCATATATTATACAGAAATGTTTTCATGATTCTAAACATGTTTGGTACATTCGTATGCACATCGTCAATCAATTTTCATAATGCATGTAGGTACATGATTATTCTAGCAATTAAGGGAGACTGTTCTTTTGAGAAAGGAAAGAGAGTGTAAGAACACGATCGTTATCACTGAACGTATCTGTTAAAATTATTGTTCTCAGAATCATGATACACAATTAATCAAACACGAATTTCATGGGACATGTATCTTGTTAGTGAGATTGTCGTAATACAAATTTCAGTAGAAACATTTAGCATCAACGGAAAGGTACACTAAGAAGTCTTATTGGCCTCTATATCAAATACATATACAATATAGATTTTGTTCACTTTGAAAATTTGGTAATGCATATTAGTACGATATTAAGTGTTCTTTTGTTGAACAGGTTTTCCATCACAGGGTGTAATACAACAATGAAATGACAGTGAAAATGAAAAAAATGTTACCCATTTGACCCTCAAATGTTCAGTAAAAAAAGTAAAACACATAAAATATTCAAATACTCAAGGGGTGGACATAATGCAAAAGGGAGTCAATAAAAACACAGGTCAAAGTTTGACAGATAACACCATAGTCACCGGGAAAAACCGAAAATATACACAACAGTACACAAAGCACTGTTGAAGAAACATTCGGAGGTGAACTCGGGTATTCCAGAAATTTGAGTCACTTTTATAGCTAGAAATCGATTAGGAAGAAACACATTAAGGGAACAAATAGAAACTGGGGAATCGCATGAACTCTAAAAGAGAAAGACAGGTAGCCTGGACAGAGTACGCGTCTCCTTTTATGTATGCATCACCCGTCATGCGATTTCACAATCAGTAATAATTTCCCAATAAGAATAGGACACACTCGCTATCTTTCAGTTGAATACTCCAAGCCTTCCGTTTCTTTTCAAGATTTCCTTGATAAAGGCTTGCTGCTTAAAAGAGAGAGATTTTATGGAGGTGGCTAAATTGTAAAGTTAGTCACCTTTTCAAAGATTTTACGGAAGAAATAAATGTTTGGTTGCCGTTACGGAATGTCTGCGTTAGAGATGACCACATATGTATACATAATCCCGTTCTCTTTTTTTATATCTGCTACATCATCGAGTGCGAATTGTAACACGATTTTCATATGAAATGACTTACATGTCGGGGATGACTAGTGGATCATAAAGTTTACACCCTTCAAGAGAAATCGGTTTAGTCTAACAGGAATATGTTGAGGATTGTCTTTAAAAAAACCAAATATACATTCAACAAAATGTCCTTTAAATTATAATTTTTTATTGGACTGCACTAGAGAATGACATTAAAAAAATGTCACCCGTTCAGCCATGTGATCGTGTAAATTATCACTCTCATTTTGACGTGAATTATAATAATAAGAATTGTCGTATGTACTAGTATGTTCCTTTCCTAATTATTTTGTCCATCTATCTAATTAGGATGTTTCACTTTTTACAGATCATACGTTTTGTATAAGCAATTATTTCGTCGGTTTGATTCACATTATCTAGATACAATTTGATTTGACTTAAAATCTTAAATATAACGACTTACCATGAGTTTTACTTTCAACAAAAGGAATGATTGTAAGGTCCTGTACTAAAAATAAAACATAGAAACATAAAGAAAAATCAGGGTGTAAAACATTGTCAAATATTCAAAGATGACAAATTAATTTTTTGCATAAATATTCAGATTTTCAGATTTTATAGTAATACCAATGTCGGTCCGTTTTTTATTTTGAAATTCAATAAGTGCCTGGATTGATGTGCCTGTCGATATTGAGCTAAAGTTTTAAAGGTTAGTTACTGATTAAGATAGCTATGTGTTTTTGATGTCTTAAATTTCGCGGAAATACTAAGTTAAACATAGAACTAATGAAAATTGAACTTGACCAGACATTTATAATATACTCATATATTCATTTTAACAAAGCTAACACCATTGAATATCTGCCATGATATTTGATCAACCACCTAAGAAAGAAAGTTAGAATACAAGTAATAGTATGCGAACTATACATTTTTATCATGCAATAGTGTCCATATATTATGTAAAAATATTTTCTTGATTCTAAACATGTTTGGTACATTCGTATGCACATCGTCAATCAAGTTTCATAATGCATGTAGGTACATGATTATTCTAGCAATTGAGAGAGACTGTTCTTTTGAGAAAGGAAAGAGAGTGTAAGAAAACGATTGTTATCACTGAATGTATCTGTTAAAACGATTGTTCTCAGAATCATGATACACAATTAATTAAACACGAATTTCTTGGAAAATGTATCTTGTTAGTGAAATTGCCGTAATACAAATTTCAGTAGAAACATTTTGCATCAACGAAAAAGGTCAATTGGAAGTCTTATTGGCCTTTAAATCAAATACATATACAATATAGATTTCGTTCATTTTCAAAATTTGGTAACGAATATTAGTACGATATTAAGTGTTCTTTCAATGAACAGGTTTTCCATCACAGGGTGTAATACAGCCATGATATGACAGTGAAATTGACAAAATGTTGCCCATTTGACCCTAAAATGCTAAAAAAAAAACACATAAAGGATTCAAATACTCAATGGGTGGACATAATGCACAAGGGAGTAAATAAAAAAACACAGGTTAAAGTTAGACAGATAACACCATAGTCACAGGAAAAAACCGAAAATATACACAACAGTACACAAAACACTGTGCAGGAAACATTCGGAGGTGAACTCCGGTATTCCAAAAATTTGAGTCACTTTTATAGCTAGAAATCGATTAGGAAAAAAACATCAAGGGAATAAATAGAAACTTGGGAATCGAATGAACTCAAAAAGAGAAAGACTGGTAGCGTGGACAGAGTACGCGTCTCCTTTTGAGTATGCATCACCCGTCAAGCGATTCCACAAGCTGTAATAATGTCCCAATTAGGATTAGGACACAATTACTATCTATCAGTTGAATACTCTAAGCCTTCCGTTTCTTTTTAAGATTTCCTTGATAAAGGCTTGCTGCTTAAATGAAAGTCATTTAATCGAGGCGCCTAAATTGTAGAGTTAGTCACCTTTTCAAAGGTTTTACTTGGGAAAATAAATATTTGGTTGCCGTAACGGAATATCTGCGTTAGAGATGACTACATATGTATACATAATACCGTTCTCTTTTTTCTATATCTCTCCATCATCGAATGCGAATTGTAACACGATTTTCATATGAAATGACTTACATGTCGGGGATGACTAGTGGATCATGAACTTTACACCCTTCAAGAGAAATCGGTTTAGTTTTACAGGAATATGTTGAGGATTGTCTTTAAAAAAACAAATGTACATTCAACAAAATGTCCTTTAAATTATAAATTTTTCATTGGACTGCACGAGAGAATGACATTAAAAAAATTTCACCCGCTCAGCCATGTGATCGACTAAATAATCACCTTAATTTTGACGTGAATTATAATAATATGAATTGCCGTATGTACTAGTATGTTCCTTTTCTAATTATTTTGTCCATCTATCCAATTAGGATGTTTTACATTTTACAGATCATACGTTTTGTGTTAGCAATCATTTCGTTTGCTTGATTAACATTATCTAGATACAATTTGATTTGTGTTAAAATCTTAAATTTAACGACTTACCATGAGTTGTACTTTCACCAAAAGGAATGATTGTATCCTGTACTAAAAATAAAATATATAAATATAAGGAAAATTCAAGGTGTAAAACATTTTCAAAAATTTAAAAATGACAAGTGAATTTTTTGCATAAATATTAAAATTTTCAGATTTTATAGTAATACCAATGTCGGTCAGTCTTTTATTTGGAAATTCAAAAAGTGCCTTGACTGATATGCCCGTTGATATTGAGATACATCCTTAAAGGTGAGTTACTGATTAAGGTAGCTATGTGGTTTGGTTGTCTTACATTTTGCCGATTTACGGACATAGAAGAAATGAAAATTGAACTTGTCCAGACATTTATAATATACTCATATATTCATTTTAACATATCTAACACCATTGAATATCTTCCATGATATTTGATCAACCACCTAGGAAGAAAGTTAGAATACAAATAATAGTATGCGAACTATACATTTTTATCATGCAATAGTGTCCATATATTATGTAAAAATATTTTCTTGATTCTAATAATGTTTGGTACATTCGTATGCACATCTTCAATCAATTTTCATAATGCATGTAGGTACATGATTATTCTATCAATTAAAGGAGACTGTTCTTTTGAGAAAGGAAAAAGAGTGTAAGAACAAGTTTGTTATCACTGAACGTATCTGTTAAAACGATTGTTCTCAGAATCATGATACACAATTAATCAAACACGAATTTCTTGGGACATGTATCTTGTTAGTGAGATTGCCGTAATACAAATTTCAGTAGAAACATTTTGCATCAACGAAAAAGGTCAATTGGAAGTCTTATTGGCCTTTAAATCAAATACATATACAATATAAATTTTATTCTTTTTGAAACTTTAGTAACGAATATTAGTACGATATTAAGTGTTCTTTCAATGAACAGGTTTTCCATCACAGGGTGTAATACAGCCATGATATGACAGTGAAATTGACAAAATGTTGCCCATTTGACCCTCACATGCTCAGTAAAAAATATAAGATAT